GGACAACCCAGTGTAGTAGGGGAGAACAGATTGGGAAATTTGCAATTGCCGGGTGGTCTTCAACCGGGTCAAGTAACAGCGACACCAGTTCAAGGAACGAAAGAGTGGCATCAATCAGTTACTCCGGATCTCAGGAATCATCTCGTGCACAAACTGTTAGTAAAATACGCTTTATACACGCATACCAATATCGAGCAAGTTTTGAGTTTTTCCTCTCTGTTTTTTCAGGGTACAAGCAATATTTCCGACTCCCGATCCGCAAGCTATGCTTGACAAACGAATGCACAATTTGGTCGCGTACGCGAGAAAGGTCGAAGGCGATATGTACGAAATGGCCAACTCGAGATCGGAATATTATCATCTGTTAGCCGAGAAGATTTATAAGATCCAGAAGGAACTTGGTAAGTGACGAGGAACTTGAGGATGACTCGAGTCATTCGACCGATCAATTTGAAAAATACAATTTTTGTGTGCCATTTCCGACCAATACCGACGTATATTTTCAAAACAGAGGAAAAACGGCAGAAGCGGAAGGAACAGCAACAGCAGCAGCAGCAACAATTGCAGGCGCAACAGCAGCAGCAGCAGCCTCAACCCGCGGGCACATCCGGCCCTGGCTTGAGGCCATGCGCTCCTCCCAGCGTAGGAACTGTTCTACCCGCGAAACCAGTCGGTACGGTGCCACCTACCGTGCGAAGTCACTCACCAGGCATGGGCCAACTGGCGGCGCTACCTGGAATGGCGATCCAACACAATCGAATGCAATTCCCGCAACAGGCGCAACAGCAACAACAGCAGCCGCAACAACAGGTTCAGGCTCAACAACAGATACAGCAGCAGCAACAACCGCAACAGCAAGGGATCTTGGTTGGTCCTCCGGGTCCTAGTCCAAACGGACAGTCGACGTCCAACGCTAATATGGTGCCCAATCCCGGGCTCAGTCCCTTCGGGCAGCCTCAGATGTCACAGACCAACTTAACAACCACCACCGCCGCGTCCGCGACAACTAGTCAATTTCCAACGTCTAATGGCACTTCCGGTTTACCTAATAGTTCTCCCATTCAGAATCAGCATCAGTTCCCCGACCTCATGAAAGTTAGATTGGCTCAAGCTCAAGCTGCGCAACAGCAGCAACAACAACAGGCGGCTCAGCAGCAGCCGACGAGCACTTCGAGTCAGAGCACGCCAGCGACGTCGATACCGCAAACACCCTCGCCATTCAGCAGTATGCAACAGCAACAACCACAGCAGCAAAATACGCCGCAGCAGCCGCAGAGTCAACAGTTCGCCAACAACCGGCCGTTGTCAGCTTCTACACCCAGTGACAACGCCATCGCCACGTCGACGCCGCAGACGATACCTCCCCCTGCGTCCAGTGGACCGAGCCCGGGAACCGCGACAACGACCACCAACGGCCCTCAGTCCACCACTTCCACACCGAACACGCCGTTGGTCCCGTCACTTATGACCCCGAATCAGTCGGTCTCTTCCGCTAATCAAACGCCGCCGCATCCGGGCACGACGCCGTCGCCCGCCGGTCTCGCGAGTCTGGGCAAAGGTATGACCTCGCAGGAGAGAGCGGCTTTGAACGCACCGAGAAGCACGTCCATGTCGTCGCAGATGGCCGCCATCACGGCGGCCTTGGATCGCGATAATTCGCCAAGTCCGCCGATGAACAACAACAAGGGTAAACTGGACACGATTAAGGAAGAGAAGGAAATGAAAATGGAGATCAAGCAGGATCCAACGGACGCCGAGAACCATCGGATGGACTGTGGCAAGAGCGTGAACAATGAGATCACCATCAAGACCGAGATCAAGACCGAGCCGATGGAGGAAGACTCGAACGAAACGACGGTGAAAGAGGAACCTGCCAGCATAAAGGAGGAGAGCATGACTCCTATGTCCGCTCAGGATACGAGCGCCGCCGACATCAAGCCGATGGTGCCGGAACCGATACAACCTAGCGGCACATCGACCGACAAGAAGAAGTGCTTGTTCAAACCCGACGAGCTACGTCAAGCGTTAATGCCAACTCTCGAGAAGCTCTACCGACAAGATCCGGAATCTATACCTTTCCGGCAACCAGTAGACCCCCAAGCTCTGGGCATACCGGACTACCCGACTATCGTGAAGAAGCCCATGGATCTGTCGACCATCAAAAAGAAACTGGACACGGAGAAGTACAGCGATCCGTGGGAGTACGTGGATGACGTCTGGATGATGTTCGACAATGCTTGGCTTTACAATCGCAAGACCTCTCGGGTCTACAGATATTGTACTAAGGTATTGCGATTATTGAAGAGAATACGAATCACCCCTATATTTTGTTTATGTTAATTGCGCTTTTTTTATAATCGACATTTTTGTTTCTCACTGTATTATTGTTTCATCGTAGCTTTCGGAGGTGTTCGAGCAAGAGATAGATCCTGTCATGCAAGCTCTCGGATACTGCTGCGGCAGAAAATACACGTTCAATCCGCAGGTGCTTTGCTGCTATGGCAAGCAGTTGTGTACGATACCCAGGGATGCGAAGTATTATTCATACCAGAATAGGTCAGTATACTTGGAGAGTTGTCTTTATAGCGAACAAATTGGGTGCATTACTGCTGTCCCATGCGTCCGCGTTTATAAAGACGCCGTAACACTTACGACCGTTGATTTGTCTTCTGTTCTTTTACGTGAAAAAAAGAAAAGGAAAAAGACAACTACGCAAATGAGACTGTTACATGTACATTTCTTAAACGTATAATTTATTAATTATATATATGCGTATATATATTTTTTTTTAATTATTTTAATTTCCCCCATTTACAGACAACTTTTGACCATTAAACACGCTAAACGCGGATGCATTGACAGCGTTAATGCGCTTGGGTGAATATCAAGAATGTTTTATATTTTACATTTAATTCATCTGTTTCTGTCGTCGAATACGTGCGGTAAATACTAGAATGCGTGTAATGGAAGAAACACCGGTGATAATATCTCGAGGTGTTTTCGAATAACACGGTTTAAATTTCGAATAACGAATGCATGTCAAACTCGTGTGACACTTTGAAAGCGTTGGCCACTGCGTGTTCATTTTGCACTGGGCACTTCTAATTTAGAAGTATCCCGTCGTCGAATACGCTAGATTAAACTGGCAGGTTAATTAACCTGCTTTTGGCAATACTAGCAAAAGCAGGTCAGTACCCTGACCTACATCTTTTTCTTTCGTAATTTATAAAACAGTTATCCGCGTATACGCACTTGCATACACATATTCGCACAGTTAGATTTTTCTATATTAGTTGTTCATGTACCTAAGAGATATGTTTCTCACGGGGAATGTATATTAGAATCTTGAGTGGCCGAGCCACAAAGGATCGAAAAGTTTTGTACAGAGTTGCGAAACGATATGCCACGAGTATATTTGATTTTACATAACTCTTCGGTATATGCGCATATTATTAGAATATAAATACTAAAGTGTGAATTGATGTGCGTCTAACGATGGCACTGTTCTCTCTTCTTTGTATGTTACCTTCGCTCTGACCATGGGTTGCGCACGCGCACACAAATCCTTGTTTGCCGCTTGCTCTTCGTGTTGCCTGCGCCCTTGCTTCTTTTCGACTCTACTACTACGAAAAAACGATACTTGGATATTGGACGATCGTAATTGGAAACCTGAAATTTATAAAACGAACGAAAATAAAAAAAAAACGATAATTACGAAACGTCCGATTCGCAAAACACTAATTGAAAAAACGAGAACGATGTCTTCGCATGACCCTTTGGGAACGAAACCGAAATCGGATTCGGAACGATTAATTGGCAATACCATTGCATGCATGTGTAAAACTACGGAAAATCGAATGTACGCATATAAACAAACTTCTCGAAATTGACGCTTGAAACTTGGATGCGTCCGGTGAGACGGATAAAATTGGCCGTCACTCGTCGAACTCTCACGCAATATAAAACGCACGCATGGCACTCTGTGATGAAATGACACGACGTGTACAATGTAATTGGTATAATAGTCTAAAGGCATATGGTCTTATTTCCGACAGATACACCTTCTGTCAGAAATGTTTCAACGACATTCCTGGTGATACAGTGACGTTGGGAGATGATCCGGCACAACCTCAAACGTAAGTACAGTCTAATGCGTAATTTGTTCATTGTAACCCGTTGCACTTGCTTGGAAGAGCGGTTCTTAAAAGTGTTCCTTTTGCAGTGCCATCAAGAAGGAACAATTCCAGGAGATGAAGAATGATCACTTGGAATTGGAACCTTTTGTTACCTGTACGGACTGCGGTAGGAGAGTACATCAAATATGTGTACTTCATATGGAATCAATCTGGCCATTAGGGTGAGTGACAACGGCAGATAACATATTAAGCAATCGTAGGAGTTTTGAGAAATTCTGTTGTCGCAACCAACCAACTCGTCCGCTTCTGTACTTATTATTTATATTTTTACATAGAGAAAAAGATTTCTTCTGAGTTTTAATGAAATTTCTTTAATTTGTCCGAACAAATTTATTAAACAAATTGGTCAAGATAAATTTGTCTTTTGGAATGAAGCAAACAAACGAATGTTTGATTCAATAAACAGGATTCTTTGGTTTCTCAAACAATAAATATCTTTAAGTCATATAACTTAAAATATTAAAATATTTCTTTTATATTTTCATTCGAACATTACAACGGTTATTACTAGCAAGCAATACATTATTTGAAAAGTAACACTATATTGGAAACATATTAAAGAACTTCTTTGTCTCAGTGAAACAATATTTAACATACAAGATATCCGATAATTATATATATATATATATATATATCGTAAATATTTCGGGATCCGTGATATACAGGTAGAACGAATTAAACTGAACAAAAAAATCATGTATCATTCTGCAAAAGTCGCAATAGTTAATGAGGAATTAATTAATCTGTATGAGTTAATGAGCGGACGCGGGAACGATAGGTCGGACATGTAGAAAGAAAAATATCTTCTGAAGACATAATAACGATGCGTATCAACTGATAGTGATATGCATATTTTTTCGGCGCGCAGCCTTATGTCACACGCTGCTTGCTAGATTACTTCGCCTCCATAAATCAATCGATGCTCATCGTTGCTAAGACATCTTCAGAAGTAAGTTATTTTTCTTTATACAGAGTCTGGCTTGTTTCCTGTGCGATCATTAGCTCGTACAGATTAATTAATTTCTTATTAACTATTGCGAATTTTGTACATGATTTTCCTGTTTAGTTTAATCCACACTATCTCCACACCTCTATGTCTCAAGATAATTACGGGGCACCTTGTATGATAAAATAAATTTTTTTGTTAATTATAATGTTTTTTTTTTCTATCAAACAACGTAGTTTACTCTAGTGAAATAACGTTTTCACTCAAATTGATACTTGACATTAAATTATATTGTTTATGTCAAACAAACACATATATCAAATGCAAGGAAACCTTTTTCTCCGTGTACGTTAAGGAAATTCCGAGAACATGTGTTACTCAAACATCGCATTTCCTCCGACAGATTTACCTGTGATAATTGCTTAAAGAAGAAAGGTCAGAAACGCAAAGAGAATAAGTTTAACGCCAAACGATTGCCCATTACGAAACTCGGCACTTATATCGAGACGCGCGTGAACAACTTCCTCAAGAAGAAAGAGGCCGGTGCCGGTGAGGTCGCGATCAGAGTGGTCGCGTCTAGTGATAAAGTGGTTGAAGTTAAGCCCGGCATGCGTAGTAGATTTGTCGAAAACGGTGATATGCCCGGCGAGTTCCCTTATCGCGCTAAGGCGTTGTTCGCATTTGAGGAGGTCGACGGCACGGATGTGTGTTTTTTCGGTATGCACGTGCAAGAGTACGGGAGCGAATGCACGCCGCCGAACACTAGACGAGTTTACATCGCGTATTTGGACTCTGTACACTTCTTCCGGCCTAGACAGTTTCGTACAGCTGTATACCACGAGATCCTTCTGGGATATCTGGATTACGCGAAGCAACTTGGGTAAGTGTAATTAAACAACGTCCAGTTTGCAAGAAAAGTTATACCCAATTGGTATTTAATTATTATCACATTGATCGAACAACCAATATAACAACCTATCAGAATTTTGTTAAGAGAATGTGTGTTTAACGAACGTAACGTGTCTTATACATATACATACAAGATTTATAATTAAAAAAAATATAATTTTAGATATACCATGGCGCACATTTGGGCGTGTCCGCCTTCCGAAGGGGACGATTATATTTTCCACTGCCATCCCCAAGAACAGAAAATACCAAAGCCTAAAAGATTGCAGGAGTGGTATAAGAAAATGTTGGACAAGGGAATGGTCGAGAGAATCGTACTCGACTACAAGGTGGGGGGAAAAAACGTGTTTGATATATTTTACACATAAATCTAGTCTCTTGTGTTTCCGATATGTGTCTCGATATCGTATCGGAGTCTAATGAGACTTAAAGAAAAGTCTGTGATAAAGCTAATGTTCTTGTTACATTTATAACACTGAACATAGGATTTGCAGGCGACATTTTTCTGCCGAGTATTTCTTCATTATTTATGCATCGAGCAGAGTATATAAATCGATGTTTTTGTTTTGTAGGATATCTTAAAACAAGCTATGGAAGACAGGCTTTCGTCTGCGGCAGATTTGCCATACTTTGAAGGCGATTTCTGGCCGAATGTGTTAGAAGAGAGTATTAAAGAATTAGATCAGGAAGAAGAAGAGAAGCGGAAGCAAGCTGAAGCGGCGGAAGCCGCCGCTGCGGCGGCAAACGCGGTAAGTCGCGGAAAATGAATAATCCTTCTCGTAATGTTCATTTCTCTTTTTCATTTTGCATATATACATGTGCCTTTTTCTTTTATCTTTCGTATATACATGTATTTCTGGTATTTTTAGATATTTTCGCTGTCTGAGGATTCTGAAACTCCGGACGGCAAGAAGAAGGGTCAAAAGAAGGCAAAGAAATCTAACAAATCCAAAGCGAATCAAAGGAAGAACAGTAAGAAATCGAACACTCCTCAGACCGGAAATGATCTTTCCGCAAAAATTTTCGCGACCATGGAGAAACACAAGGAAGTATTTTTCGTCATCAGGTTGCATAGCGCTCAAAGTGCAGCCAGCTTGGCAGTACGTTTTTGTCTCAATTATATTTTCATGAGTAAGCTCTTATAAAAGATACGATCGTTAACTTTGATTTAAATTTTCAGCCGATCCAAGATCCCGACCCTGTAATTAATTGTGATTTGATGGACGGTCGAGACGCTTTTCTTACTATGGCGAGAGAAAGGCATTACGAATTCTCGTCACTAAGGAGAGCGAAGTTCAGTTCTATGTCAATGTTGTACGAGCTGCATAATCAAGGCCAAGACAAATTTGTTTATACTTGCAACAATTGCAAGAGTCACGTGGAAACTAGATACCATTGTACAGTTTGTGACGTATGTATCCCGTTTTGGTAATACGTTCTCCTTTTCGCTTAAGATTTATTCATACCTTTACAATAAACTTTGCTTTTCGTTATAGGATTTTGACTTGTGCGTTAGTTGTAAAGAGAAAGATGGTCATCCGCATCCTATGGAGAAACTCGGTTTTGATTTGGACGATGGTTCATCGCCAGTCGATGCCAAACAGACAAATCCACAGGTGATTTACGGGTCACTTTTATCAATATTCTTTTGTAGAGCGAAACATCTTGATCCTCACCACGTCGTTTCTTTTTTCACTTATACAGGAAGCTCGGAAACTGTCGATACAAAGGTGCATTCAGTCATTGGTGCATGGTTGCCAGTGCAGAGACGCTAATTGCCGTCTGCCAAGTTGCCAGAGGATGAAGAGAGTGGTGATGCACACGAAGAATTGTAAGAGGAAGACGAACGGCGGATGCCCGATATGCAAACAATTGATAGCGCTCTGTTGTTACCACGCGAAACACTGCCAAGAGAATAAGTGTCTTGTTCCGTTCTGCTCTAACATCAAACTCAAAATTAAGCAGCAACAGCTTCAGCAACGGTTGCAACAGGCGCAATTACTCAGGTCGGTGTTTGAACAAGCGTTGAATTTCCCGTGTATCAGTCATAGGGCGTTTTACTGAACGTTGCTTCGCCTTTGTGCGCAGGAGGCGAATGGCTGTGATGAACACGAGGCCGACTGGACCTATGGCCGCGATGCAGGCCGGACAACAGACCACGAACGTCGGTATGGCGACCGGAGTCGCTATGAAGCCCGGTGTCAGCGCTACGAACTTGCCGTCTCCGCATCAGCCGGGTATTGGTCTGAAGCCTGGCACACAAACACCGCCTGCTCACGTATTGCAGGTGGTTAAGCAAGTACAGGAGGAAGCTGCGAGGCAACAAGTACCACACGTCAACTACGGCAAGGTTGCGCCGACCAGTGCAGTCGGTGTGGGGGTCGGCGTGGGTGGGCAAACCGGCGGTGTAATGCCTCCGCCACCGATGCAGCGACCGATGCCGGTTCAGATGGCGAATCCTGGCGGCACGCATCTAATTCCAATGGATCAGTGGACGGCGAGGTAAGTGGAAATTTGTTCAACTTGTGTTTCTTGAATGTTCTCACTTTTAAAAATGAATTATTCTCCATTAAGTTGGAATCGTTCATTCTGTAACTAATCGTTTTTATTGTACAGTACCGTGCATCAATTGAGTTCTTTTTGACTGTAGAATGAATTAGTTTAGTATAGATTAGGTAAAATAGTAAGGAAAATATAAGAGTACGTTAGAGGGGAGCGCTATTAAAGCTCCTGGATACTCGCTATGGCTGTTCTTCCTTGATGACGTCATAAGCGAAGAAAATCGTGCCAATTTATGTGATAGCACCCTTATATGTGGAAAAAAAAAGACGCACAAAATAACATACTCGTAATCGATTCAGCACATTTGTAAAAATGGTCGGACGCTTTCCTCTAATCTTTTCTTTAAACAATTAATAAATAGCCGTGAAATTAAAGTAACAGAAATCATGAGAAAAGATAGACGTCGTATGTAGTTGTCGGATGCCGGAACACAGTTAATGGTCCAATGAGGAGAATTTACTTTCGAAAAATAAATTCTTTCATTGGACCATCGGCTGCGTTCCGACTCCGATATACAACGGCGTATTGCAAAACAGATTTTAGTCCTGATCAGCCCTAATGTGTCATTCTATCCTTGTACATCTATGAGCAACAAAGATAGGATGACGCGTGCGTGCTCCCCGAATGCAACCTAAATGAGCGCGCTATTTCTAGGTTTTTCACGCCTGTCTTTTCCACGGAATTATAGATTTTTATATGTGGTTAGTCACATAAATTTATATGTGTGGTTAGTCGCAAAAAAGTTGCAAAACAACGCATTTTTCTTTTGATAAGTTTCGGAACACATCTCACGTTCAATAGATTTTTTTTTTTTTTAATTCTCTCTAAGAAGATACGTTTTTTCTGTTGGATATGAAATCGCGAAAAACGTCGAAAAAAAATATTGCAATCTTTTTGTAGTTAACTATACATACAGATTGCGTTCTTTTGAGAGGTATGAAGGCAAGATTGGAGGATAGCTGTATTCCCCTTCCCTTGTCTTTCCATTGTCCACAGGCATTCAATCTTTATTTAGCTTGACTTCTATTGGAGAAAACTAGACAAAGATCAAGTGCCTGTGGTAACAGGATATCTTTTCTAATTAAGTCTTTGCAGCTTTTTGTGGAGTTTGTATATACAAGGTGCCGGACGCAAATCGTGCCATCTGTCGTATACTTTCAGTTTAGGTCGATATGAACAAACAAGTCTTTTATTTTGCAAAGAATCACGGGAAATTTCGAGTTATTAATGAAAATGGCCATGCATAAAAGTTTCTTTAATAAATAACTCGAAATTTCGCGTGGTTCTTTGCAAAATGGTAGAGAACTTTTTTGTTCATATTGAGCTAAACAACAAATATGTGACAATTGGCACCGGCTTGCGTCAGACACTATATAAGTCCATGGCCAGAATTCTCAAAGATCGAATGCGTATTTTACTTTCGCGATTAATGCCGGCCGCAACACGACAAGGTGGACAAGCTCAAAGAGCCTGCAAGACGTTAGTTTAGTTATGCTCCTCCGCCCAAAGCGCTCGTGTGTGTGTCTTTGGAGAATAAAGTTTACCCTCACAAGAATTAATTCTATGCTTCTTGCTCCCAATTTTGAGGATAAAGAAAAAATACATTGGGAACGACAAGTAGAGACTGGACCGGGAATCGATCTCGGAATCTTTGGCTTGCTGAGCGGCTGCTCTACCAGCTAAGCTGTACAGGCCCAACGATACATCTCTGTCTCTTTCTTCCTTTTCTCTCTTATTGTCTTAATAGTAATTCTTACAGAGTTCGATTTTTTGCATAATTTCCCTTGCTATTACCATTGATGATAGTTGTATTCTTTGTTAAACGATTTGTAAAATCTGTTAAATAAATAAACAGGGTAAAATTTTGTTTTACTCTATTAAACAATGTTGAGAAAAAATTGAAAAAAAATATTGGATACCGACCTACTGAATATTGAACGTTTTCTCTGAAGACGAAAACCATCATTAGTTCTCCAGCTGCATCAGTCTACACTCAAAAAGGACTAGATTTGTGTACGGTAATATACAGAGAAATATAGAGCTTTAGGTGTTTTCTATTTTACGCACGTGCTTTTCCCCACTTCAGTAGGTACCAACCGAATGCAGTGATGCAACAAAGCCCCGGCTTACGGCAGCAGACTCCGCAACTTATACAGCAGCAGCAACAACAGCATCAAACTCAGCCGGGAATGGGAATGAGCGCACAAATACCACGTCAACAGGGCGTGATCGGGCCGGTTGGACAGGTTGGTGGACCACAGGCTCAGAGCAATATGCAAAAGCACGCATTGCAGCAGTTGATGCAGACTCTTAGAAGCCCGCACACACCCGAGCAACAGAACCAAATACTGCAAATACTCAAGAGCAATCCGCCGCTGATGGCAGCTTTCATCAAACAACGGGTAAGTTGATGTTATTTTTGAAGAGAGAAAAAAAACAAATGTCTGTACACGTTACCTTAAGACTTTACAGCCTCTATTACCATACGGTCTTCTTAATAAAAAGGCGAATGTCCATCAGCAACAACCTGGTCAACATGGCGCAGGAGTCGGCGGCCCATTGGGCCCTAATCAACCTCAACAACAACAACCTGGTTTGCAGCATATGATGTCCCAACAGCAACAGCAGCAGCAGCAACAACAACAACAGCAGCAGCAGCAGCAGCAGCAGCAGCAGCAGGCTCAACAGCAGCAGCAGCAGCAAGGCAGACTGCAAATACAGGCGATGCTGACGCAACAGGCGCAACAACAGCAGCCGGTGCAGCCTCAGACCCAGTGGTACAAGCAGCAGATGATGGTGATGCAGAGGCAACAACAGGCCCAACAGCAGGCGCAACAGCAGCAGCAGCAGCAACAACAGCAGCAGCAGCAGCAGCAACAGCAGCAGCAGCCGTTCACTCAACCACCAGCGCCGCCGTATGGTCAGCAACGGCCCATAAGGCCGTCTCTTCTCGGTAATCATACGATCTATCGTTGTACCATAGAAAACGAGGCACGCAAGGCCAACGGAGCCCCGATGAACAACACTATGGGCTATTTCGCGAATTCATCCCCAGGTTACGGTGGTTTCAACGAGCAAGGTTACGGTCAACCGGGCCTGAAACCAACTCCGCCACCCGTACCGTCACCACAGGGTGTGATGGGACCTCCGGGGATCTCCGTGCAGCAACAGCTGATGCAATCGGTCCGTTCTCCGCCGCCCAATCGATCTCCCCAGCCCAACCCCTCGCCGCGACCAGTCCCCTCACCCCGTAATCAGCCGGTACCCTCGCCGCGTTCCGGACCGGTGCCATCGCCGCACCATCATCCTCCGCACGGCACACCTACCCATTCGCCCGCTCACGAGCTCGCCGGTCCAAGCGAGATGATGCTTTCGCAGCTGAGTGGCGCAGCCGGGGCGCCTGCCGGTCATCCCGGCGCTATGCCTCACCATCCGTCACCGGCACCGGCGCCCTCGGCGAGCGGCACGGACTCCAGTGAGGTGACGCCGATGACGCCACAAGACCAACTCTCCAAGTTCGTCGAGGGGTTGTAGTGACTGTTAGTGATGGCGTCGGTCGATGTAAGTGAAGACTCTCTTACGGCGCACGCTCGGGCGACGCGTATCGTTTTCCGCTTCGCGTGTTAACCACGCGGAACGTCCGCGGAACAGGTCCATAGATACGGTCAGTCCGTCGCTCCTTCGCGCGCGCGCGATACAGAGGGAAAGAAAGAACGAGAGACACCCACAACGTGCTCCGCGCTTTCGCCGAGTGACCGGGCACTGTCTGGTTGAACCCCAGACGTGCGTCGCGCTGTCCACGATTCCAAAGAGCGCGACACACCCAGACGCTCGTTTCGCGTTCCTTCTCTTTCGATTGTTCTTTTCACGCGGGTTCCACAGGTCGTAAGGGGAATAGAGAGAGAGAGAGAGAGAGAGAGAGAGAGAACGCCACGTTGGTGCTGCTTCGATGCTACGGCCCGGCTCAAATAGGCTCGAGTGACTCGAGTCGTTTCGTCGTTCGTTCGGTCAGTCGGTCGGTCGGTCGGTCGGTCGGTTGGTCGGTCGGTCGGTCGGTCAGTCGGTCGGTCGGTCGGTCAGTCGGTCGGTCGGTCTCGTAGAGCGTGAGGGAGAAAAGCCAGTAGAGCGACGAAAAAAAGAATTCAAGACTAAAGACAAAATCGAGAGACTACTGTTAAGTTTCCCTCGTAAACCCTCCGAAACCCCTCCTTCCCCGCCACCACCACCACCATCACCACACTTCCTCGCTGCTGCTCGCGCAGGCTGAGTGAAATCGTACAAATGTGTTGTGTATACTTAACGTTAACTGATAATTAATAGTTCAAATACTATTAGAGTGTAGTAAGTATATGCAATGATTATACAACAACATTATTATCGTATCGAGATGCGAGATATATATGATGAGGAGAGATGTATGAAAGATAAACGATATAGGGGAACTACTAGTGTTGTATGTATGGGAGAGAGGTGAAGCAGAGAATCTAGTTCGTTAAGTAATATGTTCATTTAAGGAAAATCTTGTTATTAAGAGGATCCCGAAATGGGCCGCCGAAGGTTAACATGTACCTTAGCGCCATGAAATTTTATGAATTACGTCGCGGTACTCGCATTCTCGAGCGCGCGAAATCGCCGAAATCGAGAATGATGGTGATTCTCTTGACAGAACGTATTAAGCATAAACACGAATTAACGTTATCGCAACCAAAAAATAGAAATTCACAACAGGCCGCTATCTGCGTTGGGAGGATTTATAATGAATGTTACTTTTGATGATGAGAGGATTGAGAGAAAAAACAGTTTTTCCACAGTTGAGGGTCCATGCGTGTACAGTCCAATCAAAATGTAGCTACGAAAGCGTATCCGATACGGGCCCTCGCGTGAAAACCGCTCTGTACATATTGCATTATTACTATATTATTATATTATTATATATTATTATTTTAATATTATTATTAATATTATTATTATTATTATTATTAATTACACGATATAGAATAATAACGATTATTAATTTACCTGCCGATTATTGATTTATTATTATTAATATTATTATTATATTATATATTATTATTCTATTAATATGATGAATTCATAAATAGATATATTGTAATATTTGCAAAAAATGAGAGAGAGAGAATTTCACACGCGTTATTACACGGGTTTACTAGCACCCGCGTACAAAACACACTGAACCACACTATACTTCAGTACGCCAGTGTTGTATAATAGTAAAGCTCTAAGTGTAATTTTCTCCTCTAACCCGCGTCTTTTCCCCACCCCTCCGCTGCCCCCATCTGCCCCCTCCCCAACTCTCAGTCCCCATTTTCTTCACCACCTATTTAAATGACTTAGTAATAACGTGGAATGCGTGAGCATGTTGTGTTTCAAAAGGTCCGTGGCCGTCGGATATTTTTGAAGTACACTTTGTATAATATAGCTATCATGTAATTATACCAGCTGATGATGATTAAAAGGAAAACGTAATCGGAATGCGAGGGATTAACTGACATACACACACACACACACACATACCAGCATGAGAAACAAAAAGCTAACCGCAAAGCAAGCATTCTCATAGCAATCGTAAGGTTGCGTTCCGTACGTACGCGAGCGCTGCCGCAACTTCAAGTAAAGATTATGAATAAAGAAACACCATCGTATTGTAATCTAGCTACACGAGAGACACATTGAGAAAACGCGCGGGCATGCACTTATTACGCGTAGTACACACACACACACACACACACACGAGCGCGTACGCTGGCATGTGTACACACGCAATATACAAGCGCGTACCATCCATTCGCGAGTGCACGCGGATGCGCATACGAAACCGTTCGAACACAGCTCTCAACAGCACGCGGATTGGTGTGGTGCCTTTCTTTTTCCTTTTTTTTTTTTTCCCGTCTTCGCTTCTTTCTCTCTTCTCTCCGCCAAGTCACTTTGGCGAATTAACCGAAAGGGACGGGAATGATACGACGATCTGGTGAATGACCGTCGTCCAGCGCACGGCAGAACTCGATTAAGGTCAGCGGTCGACCTTGGTTGAGTGGACCAAATTCTCGAGCGGGTTGTTCACGTGCGCGGCCGGCTACTCCTGCAGATTCTCGTGGCGGTCGTCGACGTTCGCCAAATAGCTCGGCGGACATCGACATCATCGAGAATGCACGCGCACGTAACATGTACATAATACCAGGGCCCCCCCCCCCCCC